AAGGCTGACATTTAAGGCACCTATTTTAGAAGGTAGTAAAGGGCAGGTCAACAGGATGGGAAAGAACCAAAATAGGTGTCAAGGAGCTCCAAAGAGATAAATCAGTTTGGCACATGCATTACTGTAACCTTTGGCAACTGAAACAGGAGGAAAAATAGAATGAGGGTCAAAGATAAAGCAGAAACTCAGCTTCTTTAGATTAAAAACTGACTCAGACATGACTAGTGGAATAATCACTCTAAGGACCATCTTTATTAGTTGAGAAGGGAGAGAGTGATGAACTGAAGAGAGCTCTATCATACACACAGGCCTAGTGGCAAAGAAGTTGAAAACTTTTAGTCATGCGAAAAGGACATGCTCAACACTAGCTGTCTGCCAGGAGCCACAAGACCATGCAGGGACTGCAACCATGAATACAGGCAATGGTCCTGTCCTCTGATCGTGTGCAGTGAGTTAAGTTGGTAATCGACGGAGACCCCACAACAGACAGGATGAGGAGCCAATGTAGGAGGCTTGCCTTGGAGGGGAAGTATCTTCTCCTCTGATGGTGGTATAATCGCAGGAATGAAAAGATGAAGAGGGGCATATGGAGAGGATAAAGATCACATCTTATCTTTTCTCTTTTTTAATGTAAAGCAAAGGCTACAGATAAAACAAAACGATAAACATCTCACTTTACTCCTCAACAACTCTCAGATAGTAGAGCCCCTATTTGGTATTTTTCTGCTTTTTTGTTTTTTTGGTTTTTTTTGAGATGGAGTCTAGCTATGTGGCCTAGACTGGAGTGCAGCGGCTGGATCTCAGCTCACTGCAAGCTCCGCCTCCCGGGTTCCCACCATTCTCCTGCCTCAGCCTCCTGAGTAGCTGGGACTACAGGCGCCCGCCACCTCGCCCGGCTAGTTTTTTGTATTTTTTAGTAGAGACGGGGTTTCACCGTGTTAGCCAGGATGGTCTCGATCTCCTGACCTCATGATCCGCCCGTCTCAGCCTCCCAAAGTGCTGGGATTACAGGCTTGAGCCATCACGCCCGGCCTGGGTTTTTTTTTTTTTTCCTATTTTTCATTGACAAAAATTATATATGTATATCTACATATAACATTATTTTGAAAGATGTGTGCCTTGTGAAATGGCTAAATCAAGGGAATTAACATATGCATTACCTCACATACTTTTTGTGGTGAGAACACTTAAAATTCACTCACAGCAATTTTCAAAAATATAATACATTGTTATTAACTATAGTCACCATGTTGGACAATGGATTTAATTTTGTATCCCTTGACCAACATCTACCCAACCCTCCCACCTCCAACCCCCATCACCTGCCCCAGGATCCCCATTCTTGACACATAAGGCAACAGACACACAGTGAGGCTTGGCCACCATCAAATAGCTAACAAGGGGTTGGGAGACCAGACTTTTTTAGTTCCATTCATGTTGGCAGCTGAAGAACACAACCCCAAACTTTGACAAGACCCCTGAGTAATGCTGATGCTGCAGGTCCCTAGGCCACATTAGTTTACAATGTCAATCCAAGCCCTGAAGAATCCTAGGGTCCTCACGATGCCTCAAAGTATTCAAACTAAGACTATGACATTAAAGAGCTAAAAATAAAAGCCTTCAGTATTTGGCACACAGTCAAACCAACAGTAGGTTCTTAGTAAATGACAGATGACCAGTGGTAGTAAGAGCAAGTGGCTGCTGTAGAGGCAGAAGAGCATAGTGTGATGAGAGCACAGATTCAAGGCAAAACTGATCAAGGGTTTAATTTTACTACTACTGCTACTGCCTCTGCTTACTACTGCTACTACTACAGAATTACTAGTAATATGACTCACTAGTAGGCAGCCAATAAAAATACATCAAAAGGAGTCCCATCTGCAGCCAGAGTATACCACGAAACTCTTTCAGAGCTGGAGGAATATCTATCACTGATGGCATAATTTGAATATGAGCCTTTTCCTTGTTTTGCTAATGTAGGAGTCAATCATGTTAACAGTAAACTTGAGTTCATAACAATGCATTTCCTTTTTTTTTTTTTTTTGAGTCTAGCTCTGCTGCCCAAGATAGAATGCAGTGGTGCGATCTCGGATCCCTGCAAGCTCCACCTCCCAGGTTCACGCCATTTTCCTGCCTCAGTCTCTCGAGTAGCTGGGACTACAGGCGCCCGCCACCACGGCCGGTTAATTTTTTGCATTTTTAGTAGAGACGGGGTTTCACCGTGTTAGCCAGGATGGTCTCGATCTCCTGATCTCGTGATCCACCCACCTCGGCCTCCCAAAGTGCTGGGATTACAGGCGTGAGCCACTGCGCCCAGCCCATACCAATGCATTTCTAAATGGTCAGAAATATTTGAAGAAATAAAGCCATACATCAATTAGTCTGACCTGTTTCTTTCTTTCTTTTTTTTTTTTTTTTTGAGACAGGGTCTCACTCTGTCGCCTAGGCTCGAGTGCAGTGTCATGATCGTGGCTCACTGCAGCTTCAACCTCCCAGGCTCAGGCAATCCTCCCATCTCAACCTCCCGAGTAGCTGGGACTATGACAAGAATCACTGCACCTAGTTAGTTCTTTTTTGAGTTTTGTTTTGTTGTATTTTTTGTAGAAATGGGGTCTCGCCATGTTGCCCAGGCTGGTCTCAAACTCCTAAACTCAAATGATCCTCCCCTCTCAACCTCCCAAATTGCTGGGATTACAAGCACCGTGCCTGGCCTTAGCCGTTTCTTAAACTGAAAAATTGGAATAAAAATACTTGCCTTGTTTAGCTGAAGATAATGGCCCTTCGAGTAAATGCTCACTGTCCCCATGTATACCTTATGAGCACAAAGACTCTATGCATCAAAATATTATTTCTTAGAATTGTGCCTATCAAAGTGAGGCATTCCAAAAAACAAAAGAATTCAAAAAAAAAATCCAAATAGCTAAATATTCCCGTTAAAACAACAACAACAACAACAACAACAACAACAACAACTAATCCCTGCCAGCACTTTGGGAGGCTGAGGCAGGTGGATCACCTGAGGTCGGGAGTTCGAAACCAGCCTGACCAACACGGTCTCTTACGAAAAATACAAAAATTAGCGGGGCGTGGTGGCGCTCGCCTGTAATCCCAGCTACTCAGTAGGCTGAAGCAGGAGAATCGCTTAAACCCGGGAGGCGGAGGTTGTGGTGAGCCAAAACCGTGCCATTGCACTCTAGCCTGGGCAACAAGAGCGAAACTCCATCTTAAAAAAAAAAAAAAAGTTCCTCCACATAATTTATGTTCTTCCACTTTTCTGCTTTAGATGTGGTCTAGAACGTTTTTTGTTTTTTTTTTCTCAGAGAACACACTGTGTTCTCAACTTCAACTTCAGGTTCGGCCTTGACCAAAAAAAAAAAAAAAAAAAAAAAAAAAAAAAAAAAATGGTGGGAATGTACCTGCAAACTGGTTCTATGACCCTTCATCTTCTCTGGAAGAGTTACTTTGGACATTTCAGCCAGCCAAGTCTAAATGGTATTAATCAAAAAGGTGGAGGTAGTGCTATAGGCTCAGATCGAAGATTAGACTTGTTAATAGAATGTTCATCCCATGAGTAATGCTCACAGCTGTGGCATCCAACAATGGAATTAACATTTCAACAGGAAGCAGAGAGCCATCCCAACAGAAAGGGCCACTCTATCCTGCTTCAGAGCACCTAACAACAACAACAAAATTACCTTTCCAGAGGCTATACTAAGTGCGCCTCCTGGGATCCCACCTACGGATTTTTAAAAATGAATTATTTGGTTATAAAACGCTTAGCTTGACAAGCAAGATCAGTTGGTTAAAACACTGACATGGAAACATGCGTTTTTTGAAGTGTCAAAATGATTATGCCTCCTAATGGTCCACGCATTTTTTACACGCCTTTTTCCCCCCTCCCAGAGAAAGGAGCAGTCGACCAACGTACTTGGCGAAGCCTCTAGCAATTACCCTGTACAACTCAGCCCGTCTTATCTCCAAAACGAACCGACACATTACAAACTCAAAAGCGAGGTCACTGAATTCTTTGCACTTTGCCCAAGGACTACAGAAACCAATGCTACATTTTTGCAGGAACCCACTTTTGATTTCCCACGGTCTACTTCACAATGTGCGTCTGGTTAGCAGCTCCCGCCTGGGCGAGCTGCTTCCAGGAGACTAAGAACGTCCAGGCTGGAGTTCGCTCAGCGCCTCTTTCCTAGAGATAGCCTGGCCGATCCGAGGCACGGGGCAGCTCCATGTCCATTGAATAATGGCGTTTGCAATTCAGCCTCCCCGCCTGGGCGATTCGACACCTGAAAACTCGTTGCCCAAGGCTTTTGAAATCGGGTAACGCTGGACGGAACCGACACGAAGGCTGACAAGGGAGACGGCGAGAGCAAAGAAAGGCAAGCCCGCACCGGGGCAGAAAATGCTACTGGAGAGCTGCGAGGCGCACCCAACACGCCGCGCCCGAGCCCCTCCGCCACCACCCCCCGCCGGGGGCTCGGTCCCCGGGCACTCCGCGCGCCCTGCGCGGCTCCCTCCGGTACGGCTCCACCCGGCCAGGCTGGTGCGCCCGGCCCCGCAAAAGCGCCCCTGTGCAATTCTGCCCGCCCCGCAGCCCCTGCAGTAGCGTCCCCAAATCGCGCCCGCCCCCTCCCCCATGCCCCATTGTTCCTGGGTGGCCGCGGGCAGCGAGCGCCCCCGGGCTGGGCGGGTGCTGAGGACCCCATGGCCCCCACTCACCCACGATTCCGCAGAGGAGCAAGAAGCGCAGCAGGAGCGCCATGGTGGCTGCCGTGCCGTGGGCGGCGGCTGCAGGTAGGCGCCTCTCGCTCCGGGTCCCAGGCTCCCCGCGCCTCGCGCGCTCCCGACTGGCTCGCGGCGGCGGCGGCACCTCTGCACCCTCCGCCCCTCCTCCCCGCCCCCGCTCGGCAGGTGAACTCGCGTCACTTCCGGCAGCGGCCCTGGCCCTGCTGCGAGCGCCGGCTTCTGCAGCCGCGTGGGGTTGCCTTGGCAACCGGGCGCGGCACTCCTCGGCCCCCGAGACCCTCCCTGCGCGGAACTCTCGGCCTCCAGGAGCTCGGCGTCGGAGGGCTCGGGCGGCCGTCTCCCACACCGCAAGCCTGCGCAGGGGTCCCCGCCTTCATCCCTTAAGCTAAATCAGGGTTTTGCGCGCGGGGGTGGGGCAGCCCGTCTCCCAGATACTGAAATTGCGTTGGCGCCCTCCTTTAAGGCGAGGCACAGGGCACTGGGAGGGACGGCCTCTAGGGCGGCTCCTACCCTCCGCCCCGCTTACACCCACCCGTCCCACCCCTCGCGGTTTGCCCCAGGGGCAGGGACTCTGACCTCAGGCTCTCGGGATGCGACCTGGGCAGTCCCTGGCCTTCGCTCTCTTAACGAGTCGCGTGGGCTGACATAAAAGGCGCGAGAGGGCTTTTCTCCATCTCCAGTAAGGATAGAGCCCCTCTGCAGCTACCGATTTGGGAAATACCTGAGGTTTTTTCCACTTGCACATAAAGGCTGTTCTAGCCCTGAAGCTGGCTAGTAACGACGCTGTAGTCCCAGCTACTCCGGAGGCTGAGGTAGGCAGACAAATATTATCCAATATTAGTGAGTGAGCTTTGAAAGTGGGGCTCAGTAGGGGTAGTTAAAGGCTTCAGTTGGAGTGTGAATTGGAGATCTTGAAAGTTCTAGGCTGCTCTTCCAGATAACGTTTATTTATAACTACATAGAGACTTTGGAGTGCCCCGACAGTTCCATAACAGGAGTGTATTGAAGAAGCGGTGGGTAAGAGCTTGTACCGCGGAGTGGGGCAGTAATTGGGCAGGTTTCATAGAAATGGCACCTACTTCGGGGTTGCTACGAAAGTTAAGTGAGATAATGCCCAGATAATGCTTGGCACCCTGCCTGGCACATAGTTTTAATTAGCTTACACTTACTGAGTTCTTGCTTACAGGGCTCCTGCTTATGTGGTCTATAAGCTTACATCGTCTGTAAGTTCCTGCTTACTGTCTAGACTAAGCAGGAACCCCCGTAAGCAGAATTTAGTAAGTGGAAGCTAATAAAACTAATACTGGAAAATTCTTATTATACATTGAACCAGAAAAGAGAAAGAGCAAAGAAATCAGGTATCAGGAAGACCAAAATTGCGCAACTACAATTTAGCCTGGTGAGTTGCAATTCTGGCTGCACATTAAAATTACTTGGAGGACTTTTTAAAAATACTAGTGCCTGAGCCTTATCAGTGATTCTAATTTAACTTGATTTGAGGGGAATCCTGCTTTATGGCAGCCTAATAAATGACAGATGACCAGTGGTAGTAAGAGGAAGTGGCTTTGCAAAATCTGTACCATCTGATTGTAAAGTTCTGCCAAAGCTTTTGCAACCTAGTAAGAGTTCAATACAGACGTAAGACAACATGAGTGACGGCTAGGGACTTCCTATTTGAGCAAACAGGAATTCTACTGGATATAATTGCGTGTAAATAATATTTGGAATTTAAATTTTTACTCACCACACTAAATGAAATCAAGCAGAGAAGAGCAAGTATTGAAGTTGTTCATCTGTTTAACACTGTTCTACGAGAACTTTTCTTTCTTTCTTTTTTTTTTTTTTTTTTTTGAGATAGAGTCTTCGCTCCGTCGCCCAGGTCGGAGTGCAGTGGCGCCATCTCGGCTCACTGCAACTTCCGCCTCCCAGGTTCAAGCGGTTCTTCTGCTTCAGCTTCCCGGATACCTGGGACTACAGGCGCGCGCCACCACGCCCGACTAATTTTTGTATTTTTAGTGTCGGGGGCGGGGGGTTCACCATATTGACCAGGCTGGTCTCGAACTCCCAGCACTTTGGGAGGTAAAGGTGGACGATCGCCTGAGCCCAGGCGTTAGAGACCATCCTGGGCCACATGGCAAGACCCCTATCTCTACTAAAAATAAAAAATGAGCCGGATGTGGTAGTCCCAGCTACTCCGGAAGCTGAGTTAGGCAGACAAATATTATCCAATATTAGTTTTATTAGCTTCCACTTACTATGTGCAGGAACCCCCTAAGCAGGATCTCAGTAAGTGGAGCTAGTAAAGTGAGCCCAGGAGACGGAGGTTGCAGAGAGCCGTGATCCAAGAAGGAGAAGGAAGAAGAAAGAAGAAAGGAGGAGGAAGAGAAGGAGAAATTACCCAAAAGGATTTAGGAGGGGGAGGGGGAGGAGGGGGGAGGACGAGGAGAAGGGAGAAGAGGAAGGGAGGAGAAAGGAGGAGGAAGAAGAGGAACAACAACTACCCAAAATGATTTTTATCTTAATCCCTTTCCTGGTACTTTTTCTTCTAATTCTTAGCTTTTGCCTCCTTCTATGTTAGGCATTTGCATACCTATTAATCACTTTTCTTGTTCTAAATACTTCTAGAAGTCTGAAAAAGCACATTTTTTTTGTCTTCATCACTCCTGAAAGCACATAGTAGGTTCTCAAGTATTTCTCAAGTTGAATTGAATGTTTATTTTCTATGGCAATATGTTAATAAAATTTAAATATCTGTGCAATAACAAATCATTACACCTTAAATATATCTTTTCAGAATGTGCTTTTTTGGGAGGGGGCAACAGAATCTCGCTCTGTCGCCCAGGCTGGAGTACAGTGGTGTGATCTCGGCCCACTGCAACCTCCGCCTCCTGAGGTGATTCTCCTGCCTCAGCCTCCTGAGTAGCAGGGACTACAAGTGCGCTCCACCACGCCTGGCTAATTTATGTATTTTTAGTAGAGACAGGGTTTCACCATGTTGGCCAGGATGGTCTCGATCTTCTGACCTCAGGTGATCCGCCCTTGGCCTCCCAAAGTGCTGGGATTACAGGCGTGAGCCACCATGCCCATCCCAGAATGTGTTTTTTAAAATGTGAGTTTTACAAGCTCAATTTTTTCCTGCTTCTTTAAATTACTGAACACAGATTTTTTTTAAATGTACCATTCTAAGATTTAAATAATCTTGAAAGAAGCAGTCTATCTTATTTGGGGAACTATTGTTTTTTAAAACGTTACATGAAGTCACTTTTAGAACTTTGGTTTGTGACTAAATCATTTCATAAACTAGCTAAAATTATGCAGTTATATGAAATATATTAAAGACACCTTAAAATGCATTTGTGGCTATTGTCAACTTGGAAATTATGTCTTCTGGAAGCTATATAATAAGATAATCTCATTTATTCTGGAACATATAAATTATTATTTTTTGTCTTCAAACCAAGCTAAGAAATAGTACACAGCCATTAAATGAAATGCCCTTAGTAAAGCACCAAGCACTCCACATTATATAGCCTCTAAACCAGCTTAAAGGTGATGATCCCTGCTCCATCAAGAAGGCTGTAATTACAGATACACAAATAACTGTGGTTAATAAAGCATCCATCCTTACAAAAATGTCTCCGCACTAATGGATCTATTAACACACCCATAGATCATTAAAATCCTACAATCATATTCAAAGGTTAATTTATACTTAAGGAATTTTCACCTCTTCTCAGCTTGAAATATGAAGACATGTGAATTAGGAAACCAACTTTTTCTTTCTTTCTCTCTTTCTTTTCTTTTCTTTCTTTTCTTTCTGATGGAGTCTCAATCTGTCACCCAGGCTGGAGTGCAGTGGCATGATCTTGGCTCACTGCAACTTCTGCCTCCCGGGTTAAAGCGATTCTCCTGCCTCAGCCTCCTGAGTAGCTGGGGCTACAGGCATGCACCACCACACCCGGCTACTTTTTGTATTTTTAGTACAGATGGGGGTTTCATCATGTTGGCCAGACTGGTCTCAAACCCCAGACTTCAAGTGATTTGCCCGCCTTGGCCTCCCAAAGTGCGAGGATTAAAGGCATGAGCCACTGCGCCAGTCCAAGAAACTTTCTATTACATGTGAAACTTCTAATTTTTATGTTTTCTGAGAAATGATAATGCCGTTCTTAAGAAATGAAGATTTCGCCGGTCGCAGTGGCTCACGCCTGTAATCCCAGCACTTTGGGAGGCTGAGGCGGGGGGATCACCTGAGGTCGGGAGTTTGAGACCAGCCTGACCAACGTGGAGAAACCCCCATCTCTACTACAAATACAAAATTAGCCAGGGTGGTGGCGCATACCTGTAATCCCAGCTACTCAGAAGGCTGAGGCAGGAGAATCATTTAACCTGGGAGGCGGAGGTTGCGGTGAGTGGAGATCTCGCCATTGCACTCCGGCCTGGGCAACAAGAGTGAAACTCTGTCTCAAAAAAAAAAGAAAGAAAAAAAGAAAGAAATGAAGATTTATTTCCAATGTGTTCTATTTACATTACCAGGAACGTGGGCTTTATGGATTAATACCATCCAGAAGTTATCTATTTACCCCCAAGCAATGAATGCATAAATACATACACTTTTTTTTGAGATGGAGTCTTGCTCTGTTGCTCAGGCTGGAGTGAAGTGGAGAGATCTTGGCTCACTGCAAGCTCCACCTCCCAGGTTCACGCCATCCTCCCGCCTCAGCCTCCCGAGTAGCTGGGACCACAGTCACCCGCCACCACGCCTGGCTAATTTTGTTTTTGTATTTTTAATAAAGACGGAGTTTCACCGTGTTAGCCAGGGTGGTCTCGATCTCCTGACCTCGTGATCCGCCCGCCTCGGCCTCCCAAAGTGCTGGGAATACAGGCATGAGCCACTGCTCCTGGCCACTTTTAATTTTATGCCATGTACATTATAAGTCAGGCCAGGTGCGATGGATTTCCCCTGTAATCCCACTTTGGGAGACCAAGGCGGATGGATCATTTGAACTCAGGAGTTCTAGACAAGCCTTGGCAACATGCTGAAAACCCATCACTACAAAAAATACAAAATTAGCCAGGCAGAGTGGCACGAGCCTGTAGTCCCAGCTACTTGTAGGGCTGAGGTGGGAGGATCCCTTGAGCCCGATAGGTCAAGGCTGCAGTGAGCTGAGATTGCACCACTGCACCCCAGCCTGGGTGACATAGTGAGACCCCATCCCAAAATAAATAAATCAACCCTTAGCCAGTCAAATCCTTTTTTTTTTTTTTTTTTTCAAGACAGAGGCCTCACTGTGTTTCCCAAGATGGTCTTCAATTATTGGCCTCAAGGGACCCTCCTGCCTCAGTCACCCAAAATACTGGGATAATAGGCGTGAGTTGCTGTATCCCATCAAAAAAAATTTTTTTTAGATTCCTAATAATGCAGATTCCAAATAAATACATAAAAGCGATAACATTTATATAATACAGACCAACATTGAGGATTTTATTAATGGGCTTTTAACATATTAACCAAAGGCTAGGTGTAGTGGGTCACACCTGTAATCCAGTGCTTTGGGAATTAGAGGCAGGAGGATTGCTTGAGCCCTGGTTACAGTGCAAGACACCACGGCACTCCAGACTGGGCCACAGAGAGACTCTGTCTCTAAAAATATACAATAAAATGTCCTTATTCAAGAATAATATTTTTTTCAGTTGCTTCCTTCTCTTTGTTTTGGTCTCTTCATACTGGTTTGGTTTCTTTCCTCCGATTTCTGATAATTCCTGGTTTTCTGCTCAAAGGTTAAAATGGGGCAGGGAAATAAAAGGAAGTATA